CAAAAAGTTACAGCTAATGTTAACCAGAATGCACTCCCATAGACTTACGGTTTCAATCGTTTTTTATTGAGAAATTTTTCAACAGACATTAAAGGTCAAACTTTATATTTTGACATATCCATATTAGTAAGATAGTTACATTTTTAATACAAAGAAAGTTAAGAAGTTTTAGTATAATAGCATCAATTCTCTAAGTAATTCTGAAGGATCTAGTAAAGAATTTGTTTACATAGATGTATATCAGTAGTGCATCTATATATTGTATGCATCAAATATTATTAAATGCTATTAATATTAATAACTTTTGTAAAGTAAACTAAGGTTATGGTCATCTATTCTATGATATAAATTTACGTCTATTATTTCCAGATTTGGCAGAAGTGTTTTTAGCTTTTCTATCAGTTATCAGTTAACACAAAATCAGATGAGAATGCAAATATTAAGCTGTATGTTGCAGTTTCTGTTATTGTTGCCATAGTTCAGTGATGAAACTGTACTGCAGCTTATTAAAACAGTCTAGTATATCATATATATAGCTGATAAATTATTTTCCTTTGTGGATATGCATAAGGTTGTATATTCAGTTCTCTATAAAATATTTGTCTATATAACAACTATACAACTGTTTAACTAATCTATACTACTTGGTCCCAATTAGATTTTTCCAGAGCATGAGAAATGTACATTTACATGCAACCTCAAGTGATGATGAAGACTGATCATGATGAGGCCTATGGATATGTACATTCAGTGAGAGAGTGTTAATACATCAGAATTCCAGCAGTTTGGATTCCTTATACACAGTGGGCCATAGACTTGCCCTTCCCAAGAAAGACCGCAGATTACCACATTTAATTGACCAGGATTTTTCAGCTAACAAGTTTAACTCTACCCTTTTTAAAATTTCTTTAAGTGTTGGAATAGTTAGTGATTTCCAATAAACGGCTATGAGATTCCTAATTACCACAAAGATATGATTTATAATCAGTCTTTCCTGGGGGGGCAAATCCATAGTACCCAAGTGAAACAAAGCCATACCAGGGGGGATTGAATGGAGTGACATAGGTAATTGTTTAAGAAATTGCTCAATATCAACCCAGAGTTTAGTAAGTTTAGGACAACTCCAAAAAATATGTGTCATGGAACCCGTCTGGTTGCAACCTCTCCAACATAAAGGTGATGTTTTAGAGTCAAATTTTGAGATTTTATCAGGGGTCATGTACCATTGCCAAATACTTTTAAGAAGATTTTCATGATGATTAACACAGTGTGACGACCTCTTCAAAGACCTGACAGCCATTTCCCATTCTTCTATACTAATTTCAGATTGAAGGAAGTCTTGCCATTTATTCAGCTGCCATTTTGGGGCTTTTTCTTTCAAATCTATAAGTATTCTGTAGAAAATGGGTGTACCTTTTAAATGTAATCCCTCTGGCTTAAGAAGTTTATTGATTTTGGGAGTTAAGGTAATTGGGTTAGTTGGATATCTAGTTAAGAATTTATGTATTTTCGAATATAGGGGTCTATCAGATGTTGGGATATTATATGATGACATAAGTTCTTCAAACGGTTTAATATCAGAATCTGTCAATAGATCTTCTACTGATGTTATCCCACAAGCAACCCAGTTTTCTAAGTTAATATTTTTAATGACAGTATATAAAACTGTCAAAGATGTGGAGGATGGCATAGCTAAGGTATCTCCTCTGCACAATTTTATCATCTCCTTCCATATTCTGAGTGTATTAGCTGTTATTGGGTTTCTGATATTTGGATTAACCTTCCAAGTCAGTCTGGACTCAAGAAAAAGTTTATATGAATTATATGGTAGTTGTTCTTCCTCAATAGAAAGCCATTGTTTGGAAGTATCATTAGTCCAAACTGACCTGGATTGGTCCAAAATAGTTGCTTTATAATACAGCTCAATATTGGGGACACCTAGACCTAGATTAGAGGTATGCGAAGTCAAGATTTTATTAGAAAATCTAGATTTTTTGTTCATCAGAACAAATTTATTTAGCATTTTTTGGAGGGTAATAAAAAACTTTTGAGGGATTCTTATTGGGAGGTTCCTAAATAGATATAGAAGTTGGGGGAGTATTATCATTTTAAAGGCAGCTGATCTGCCTAGCCAAGAAAATTCTAATTTAGCAAGAGCTTCTAAGTTATTTTTAAATTTAGTTAACCAGGGGTTGTAATTTTCTCTATAAAGTTGGGCAATTGTCGGGGTTAGTTGTATACCGAGATATTTTAAGGATTTATTACTCCATGAATATTGACATGATTTTTTAAGGGTATCTATAGCATGTTGGGGGACATAACATGGAAGAATGGTTGTCTTATCTTGATTTAATTTGTAAAAAGATATCTTTGAAAAGTTTTCCAATTCTTTGTTTACATTTGGCAATGATACAAGAGGTTTTTGAAGATACAAAAGGATATCGTCTGCATACAAGCCTAGTTTGGTATTAGATTTTTCTAATTGTATGCCATGTATTGATGAGTTGTCTCTGATTTTTTGGGCTAATGGTTCGAGAGTTAAGTTAAAGATTAGTGGCGAAAGTGGGCAACCTTGACGGGTTCCATTCTTGATATCAAAGGGGGAAGACAGTGATCCAGATGTCAACACTCTAGCAGATGGTTGTGTGTAGAGAGCCAGTATCGCCTTGTGCAGGAAATCAGGGAGACCAAATTTTGTTAACACCCTAGACAAATACAACCAGTTAACTCTGTCAAACGCCTTCTCCGCATCTAAAGAGACGAGGAGAGTAGGCGTTCGACAGAGCTTAAGTTTATGTAGTAGAGCTAGAACCTTACGTGTACCATCACTTGTGGTTCTACCTTTTATGAATCCAACCTGATCAGGGTGAATTAGTTGAGGCATGAAGGGGGCCAACCTATTAGCTATTACTCTAGCGTAGATTTTTATATCTGTGTTTAGCAAGGATATTGGTCTATAATTGACTGGATCTGTTGGGTCCTTCCCTTCTTTGGGTATTGTTGAAATAATAGCTGACAGAGATTCCTTAGGAAAGGCACCGTGGGTTGCGACCTCGTTAAACAAGTCTGTAAGGGGTTTAGCTAATATGCTTACAAATTTTTTAAAATAATCATTAACAAAACCATCAACACCAGGTGCCTTATCTTTTTTCAGGGATCCTATAGCAGATTCGACTTCTTGCTGATCAAAAGGGACTGACAAATAACTTTGCTCGAGTTCTGAAAGGGATGGAAGTTCTACATTTTCTAAATATTTATCAATCCCATGGGTAGATGGAATATGATTTTCTGGATTGTTCTCTAGGTTGTAAAGTTCCTCATAATAGGTGGCTAATGCGTCTGCTATATCTCTAGGGTGATGTACTTCTATTTTGGTCTTAGGGTGTTTTATTTTGACTATTCTTTGATAAATTCTTTTCCCTTTTATTTTTTGGGCCATAGCCTTACCCGCTTTGTTTTTTTCATAATACCAGGTCTCTTTGAGTATAGTCTGCCACTTATCATACTGATAGTACATACAATCTGCTAGTTCCTGTCTGGTTTCTTCTAGTAATTGGGTTAAATTTGTTTTTTTATTGCAAAAAATTTCTATTTCTAGGGATTTAATTTTATTTAATAGAGAGTCAGTTTTTTCCCTTATCTTTTTTTTCCGAATGGCACTCTGTTTCATGAATACACCTCTCATAAAGGCCTTGTGTGCATTCCAGAGTGTGGTTTTCGAAACATCTTTGGTATCATTAATTTTAAAAAATTCTATCAAATCTCTTTTAATTAAGGGGAATGTATGCTCAGAATGTAATATATATTTGTTTATCCTCCATATATTAGGTTGTGGGAAAGAATTTTGGAGTTGAATCTTAACAGTTATGGGGGAGTGATCTGACCAGATTCTGGGGCCGATTTCAATACTTGAGATCAGTGGCAAGGAGAACCTGTCAACCAAACAGTAATCAATCCGTGTGAATGATTTGTAAATTGGGGAGTAATAAGTATACTGTCTTTCTTTAGGATGAAGGCATCTCCACACATCAAATAACTCAGATTTAACTAAGATTGGTTGAATTAATGAGGGAGTTCTCCTAATTTTGGATGTACAGTCCATTTGAGGATCAACAACCGAGTTTAGATCTCCAGCTATAAATAAATGTCCTTTGGTGATGTTGGAGATTTTTTTAAGTTTTTTATTCAAAAAGCTTATCTGGTGTGAGTTAGGGGCATAAATATTTACAAATGTAAATTCTTGGGAGTTTATTGTTCCTGTAACTACTATCATTCTTCCATCAACACTACTGTATGTGTTCGTTACCACAAGTCCCAGTGTATCTTTAACAGCTATACATACCCCACTTTTCTTTTTCTTTTTTAAGATGGAATGGTATATTTTAGAAAATTGGTGAATCTTTAATTTCTCTGCTCCTATTTTGTTTAGATGGGTCTCCTGAAGGCAAATAATATCTGCTTTCTCTTCTTTTACCAATTTCTGTAACAGATACCTTTTTCTATATGAATTTAACCCTCTCACATTTAGTGATAACAACTTACAATTTTGTGACATAGCTAGTCAATAACCTGCTGTTACATGAAAACAAAAACATTACATTTACCCCATACACATCAGTCATCGGATCTTTAAATTGAGATGAAAGATATCCATATATCTCAGCTCTGGATAAAAAGAAAAAAGTTAGTTGGGACAGTAACAACAACAAACAAGAACAGATTATGATTAATCTTAACATCAACGTCGACAATTGTCGAAAGAGCAAAAAAAGAATCAATGACCTCACTGGCATCCGGTTCTGCCACTTGTCACTGAAAAAGAAGTTCACTAAAACAAAAATAAGTGATTTCAAAAACTTCAAAAATTATTCCAAAGGCCTAACAGGCCAAGGTCCACCGATGTGGACTTTAGTTAAACTTTTCTCCTTAAGGGGAAGGTGTCACATCCCAAGGGGAAAGTCTAAAGAGGGGGGAAAGTTTATGGCTAGGCACCATGCAGTTCAGGTTCCTGCAGAAGCCACTGCAGATTTTTCATCCTCTGTTTTATCTTGGGAACAGTCCATCGGTTGTTGCTTGGACAAGGGTGTGGATCTAATTGGTCTATCCTTCTTGGGGTCTCCGGAGATGAAAACAGGAATGTTCCATTTGGCAAGTAGATCTTTACCTTCTTTTACACTTCTGATGACATGGGTAACCCCCTGGTCGTTGATTATCATCTTTGGGGGGAAGCCCCACTTGTAAGGGATCTTCTTGTATCTCAGAGTTGCCGCTATCTGCGAGTATTCCTTTCTGGCCTGCAGAGTTGCCTGTGAAAGGTCCTGGTACAAGGTTAAGTCCCGAAATGGATCTGGGAGCTTTTTCCCTCCTCTAGTGGATGCAAGAAGTAACTCCTTTACATGGTAAAAATGTATTCTGGTGATAACGTCTCTTGGCAAATGATCAGCTATGAAGCCAGGTTTAGGAAGCCTATGAGCTCTGTCTATTACCAGTTCATTTTCAGAGATTGTAGGTAGAGTGGTTTTCAGTAGGTCTCTCACATACCCTTTTAGGTCATTGTTAGAAACTGTCTCTGACACCCCCCTGATCTTCACATTATTTCTTCTGTTTCTATCTTCTGCGTCAGCCAACTTTTCTTTCATCCATTTTACTTCATCCATAAGCTCCCGATGAGCATCAATAAGCTCATTATGTGCCCCAGTCATCTCTGATATCCTATTCTCCAGCTTAGTGACCCTCTGGTCCGTCTTTTTTGCAAACTGTGACACATGCCCTACCAGCTCCTTCATATCCACCCTGATCTCCGCCATGTTGTCCTGCATAACACATCTAAAGGAGATCATAAATTCTTTAAAGAATTGCTGGGTCATGGGCTGATCTGTGATCGGAAAGTTTATCAGGGGGTCTGGGGGCTTGTTAGCTGGGGGTGTCTGGGGTGAGGGTTGTGAGAGTTGTCCTACCTGAATCTCTCTGTTCTCCTGCTGCTCTGCTGGAGGCTGAGGTCTCATAGGCTTTAGAGGGCTGCGATCCCTTGGGTTGTCTTCCTCACTGTCTTCCTGCAGGTCTGCTGGGTTAGCCCTGCGGTGTGGAGTGTATAAGGGAGCAAATCTGTTCCTCTGGGATAGAGGAGTATGGTAGGCAGAATCGTCCTGGTTCCCCTGTTGTTGATCTCGGTCGCCATCTTGGATTTCTTCCTCAAAGAAATCAGCTAGCTTCTTAGGAAACGGAGATCCTTTTTGCTTCTTAGTTTTCACCTTTTTCCACTCCATAGTGTTTAGGAGATGTTCCCCTACGATTTAAATCAAAACAAGGGCTTCCTAGGCTGCTTTAGGTAGCTTAAATCGGTGCTTTCAGCAGAGAGCTGCAGGCTCAGGCAGCCATTCAGCTCAGTGTCCAGACCACGCCCCCCTCCCATA